AGCCAGGGTTCGACGCTGGGTAACACCCGTTTCATTTTGCAGGTGCGCTCAGGGCACAGTGAACTTCAGAGAAAAGGAAAAACAAGTTTTGGATCAAATCCTAGGACCTGGACGTTACGACGCCAGGATCCGTCCATCGGGAATCAATGGGACAGGTGAGTGGCGGCCAGGCCACGTGCACGCACGCACGCACATTGTACCTCGGTCCCTGTTGGAGGGCCAAGTTCAGACAACGATATTAAACGTTTCTGAATTGTTGAAAACAATATACCGAGTGTCTCAAAAGTCCTTAGCCTTGGGCTGGTATGTCGAAATGCGTGGAACTAAGTAACTGTGTGTTATTCTGTATTCTATGAGCAGTTGATAGGCGTTTAGATGTTTATTAACGGAAGTGTAAGCGTCATTGCCTCGCTTGGAAGGCACGCTTTATAATCCTGTCCTGAAACAAGTTTCTGTAAGACATTTCCTTATTCAAACTGGTCGTATGACATACGTACATGTAACTTTATTCGTCCCTATTTTAAGAAACTTCTGCGACACTCTGTATAACATTTGATGTCTATGCAGTTGTTCTGTTCTCAATGTGCTAAAGAATTTTGACAGACTGTGTGATGTTCGAAACATGCAACTTGTTATTTTTCAATGTTGCGAGATTCTTTAAATTTCTCTCCTCTAAAGTATTGGAAATATTGTGACACGCTGTAATACTTTAAGCCTGGATTTACTATGGTGATGCCAAGTTTCAAGGCATTCATATAAATTGAATTTATTGAAACCGCGAAGAACTTATAGGCGACACCCCCCAGGTACTAATTCATTATCGTCATACCACACTATTACCATACTCGTATCAGTTGTATGATTTCATCGTCAGGGAATCACGGAACATAGCAGTCTAGTCCCAGGTTCAAATCTCAGCCCAGGGACCGACTATCCTAACTGAGATATTCATAGGTTTTCCTCAGTTCCTCAAGACATGCCGGGAATTTACCTTGAATTAGGCCACGACGGTTTCCTTTCACATCCTTTTCAATTCATTACTTAATTTCGTAGTCTGATGACATATATTCTGAGCTACTACCAGCGTCGTTAAATAAAACACAAAGAAACTGTCGGCCATCAGTTTTTGAGGAGTAGCTGTAGAGGCGTTCTTTACACTAAAGTAAAATTTCAAATTGGTGTCACAGATACATAGCTAATCGTAGTTTAGGAATTGAAGCAGTGTCAGTTACCGAAACGTCGTGTGTTTTTAATTAATAGAGGAAGAAAAATGTCGAAGAATGTGTGTCATTTTACTACGTTACTGGCCTTTGGTTCATTTTAATTTTCTAAATCTTTCCTGGAAAAGTGTTTGCTGCTTCTTAAATTCACTTCTTTTGAACAAGAGTGAAAATTCAAACGTTCGAATAGCTGAAATATGAAATAAAATTAAAAAGTTTGAAACGAGTAAATTCAGGGTTGAATCCGAAGACGTAATTTTAGAAGGATGCCAAGAAGTGTTCGAGGTGATATTATTAAAATGTGTCTTATGGAATTAAATACCGCAGATGTTTAATGTGTACACTGCGATGAATCTTCTAGTTTTATAAAATCACGTACTTCCTGGTCAGCGAAAT